TTTTATGAAGCTCCAGAGAGTGAATTGTACATCATTTTCCCTATATGCTGAATTTTTAACCTAGTCTCACTATGGGTTAAAATGTATTTGTGTGTGCAAAACCTGTACTCATGATGAAACACGTTAGCAGACGACAGTGCCAAATGTGATAGTTTTCTTTAAACCCACAAATTGCCTGTGGATGGAAATAAAAAGAGCTGCCTTCCTTACAGATGAGACTTCTTAGGTAAGCAAGGGAAAGAAGAAAGAACTGCCTATATCTGCAGGGAATTCATTTTGGATCCCCACAGATACCAAAATCTGTGCATGTGAAAGTTTCTTATATAAAATGGCACAATTATTTGCACATTACATATGCTCATCGTTTATATACTTTAAATAGACTCTGTGTGACTTGCGAAGCCTAAAATACAATGTAAATGTTACGTACATAGTTGTTGTACTGTTTAAGGGATACTGGTGAAGGAAAATGCTCACACAGGGTCAGGGCAGATGTGGTTTACCATCTACCTCTGATTTTCAGCTGGTTGAATCTGCAGATGTGGAAGTTACAGATGCGGAGGGCCAGCTGTACTGTCTTATATGGAATGAGCTTCTGAGAATGGAAAAGGCCTAGCATAAAAAGCCTGCTAAGGGAGAGCTGTCTTTACATTATACAAAGAAGGACAACTGGACTTTTGACAGATCTATGGGATGGATTTTGATACAGATAGTTCCAGTCTCTGGGATGATGCTCACCGTGAAACTATTCTCTTTGCAGGAGTGCTTTTCCTACATAGTAGCAATGGCAGCATGGTGGAAAAATGGAAAATTGAAAACTCTGGAGGTTTCAATGAAAAGTTCTGTGGTTACCAGGGATTAGGGAGAGGGAGGTATGAAGAGAAAGCACAGAGGGCTTTAGGGTAATGAAAATAGTATATATGATCCTCTAAAAGAAGATACGTACCACTGTCCATCTACTCAAACCCATAGAATGTAAGAGTGAGTCCTGTAAATTATGTGCTTTGGGCAATAATGATGTGCAAATGTAGGTTCAGCAACTGTAAGAAATATACTACCTTGGTGGATGATGCTGATATTAAGGAAAGTGGTGTGGAGAGGTGTAGCTGGAGTTTTCTTCAGTCCCATCCAGACCCACAGCCACTCAGACTCAAATAAACACACAGATGCTTATATTATTTAAACTGTTTGGCCTAATGGCTCAGACTTCTTGCTATCTAGTTCTTATATCTTAAATTAACCCATTTCTATTAATCTGTAAGTTGCCACGTGGCTTGTGACTTACTGGTACTTTTACATCTTGCTTCCTCTGTGTCTGGCTGGTGACTCCTGACTCAGCCTTCCTGTTCCCAGAATTCTCCTCTCTTTGTGTCCCACCTATACTTCCTGCCTGGCTACTGGCCAATCAGTGTTTTATTTATCAATCAATCAATCATAGCAACACATTCACAGCATACAGATATCCATAGCACTTCCCCTTTTCTTTTTTTTTCAAAAGGGAAGGTTTTAACTTCAACATAGTAAAATTACATATAACAAAACAATTATCAAGTAAGAATTACAGTTACAATATCTAGTCTATTTATAATATCTAGTCTATTTGTATTTGGCAAAATTAAAGAAGATAGCCTATCTATCCTATATTTGTGAGTCTAAGATTTCATATCTAACTTATATTTTATCATAACTAAGGAAATTATAACTATCTAGTCTTCAACTACATCAAAGACCTCAGAATGATATAATATTACCTGAGAAACGGGAAGTGCATGCAAGCGGATTCCAAAAAAATTGTGAGTTGACAGAAATGGCCAGCTGCCTGGACAGTCACCTGAGGTTTCTCCACAATGTTGGGGCATCATCTTCAGCCTATAGGTGCTGTGGGATGTTCTGTATGGCAAATGTGTTGCTCTGATTGGTCAATAAATAAATCACTGATTGGCCAGTGGCCAGGCAGGAAGTATAGGCGGGACAAGGAGGAGAATAAAGCTGGGAAGTGGAAGGCTGAGTCAGAGAGACACTGCCAGCCGCCATGATGACAAGTCGCATGTGAAGATGCCGGTAAGCCACGAGCCACGTGGCAAGGTATAGATTTATAGAAATGGATTAATTTAAGCTGTAAGAACAGTTAGCAAGAAGCCTGCCATGGCCATACAGTTTGTAAGCAATATAAGTCTCTGTGTTTACTTGGGTGGGTCTGAGCGGCTGTGGGACTGGTGGGTGATAGAGATTTGTCCTGACTATGGGCCAGGCAGGAAAACTCTAGCTACATATAGGCTTAGCATATCTGACAGACTCATTTGTGGTACACAAGGCCTGTAGTTCAACCTCACATTCGATGAGAGTAGTCCATGTACCAGAAAAACCTGAATTCAGCTACAGAGAGGAAAGAGGTGGGGATATATGGAAATAGAACTTTCTGCTCTGCTGTGGGATGTTCTGTATGGCAAATGTGTTGCTCTGATTGGTCAATAAATAAAACACTGATTGGCCAGTGGCTAGACAGGAAGTACAGGCGGGACTAACAGAGAGGAGAAAAGAAAGAACAGGAAGGCAGAAGGAGTCACTGCCAGCCGCCACCAGGACAAGGAGCATGTGAAGATGCCGGTAAGCCACGAGCCACGTGGCAAGGTATAGATTTATGGAAATGGATTAATTTAAGATACAAGAACAATTAGCAAGAAGCCTGCCAAGGCCATACAGTTTGTAAGCAATATAAGTCTCTGTGTTTACTTGGTTGGGTCTGAGCAGCTGTGGGACTGGCGGGTGACAGAGATTTGTCCTGACTGTGGGCAAGGCAGGAAAACTATAGCTACACTGTTCAATTGTTCTGTTATCCTAAAGCTACTATAAAAATGACTAATTAACATAAAAACATGGCGGGGGGTGGGAGATGGCTTTATGGGTAAGAGTGCTGCAGCACGAGTGTGAGGACTTGAGTTCAAACCCCAACCCACACAAAAGTAAGACATGGTTACATGTGTTTATCTGTAACTCAGAACTTTGAGGGGACAGAAAGACCAGAGGATTCTTAGGACTTGCTGTTTGTTAGCCCAGCTCCAGGTTCAGTGAAAGACCCTGTCTCAGGAGAATAAGCAAAGTATGGTAGAACAGAATATTGTCTCTATTGCTGTGGTTTCTGCATGTATATGCAAATGTGTGCATACACTACATACATATGCCTTCCCTCACAAAACAAACAGACAAACATAAAGGCCTTCATTTCCATGATTTTAAATTTATATATTCTTAAAATCTCCTACATTTTAACTGACAATTATTTGCCTTCTAGGGTTAGCATCATAATAGACATGAGCTGTTAAGAATCTTAAAACAGTAGCTTTGTTTCCCAGCTTCATAGTTTCAAGTCTAAAGGTCTGACCTACTTGAAATGTTGAAGTCAACAGTGTGTGGCCACAAAACTCCACTAGAGGGAGAGGCTTGAACTTGTCTTTAAAGTGCAAAGGTAAATGTGATCGAAGTCTAAAATAGTTGCAACCAAGTCTCATGTAGTTCAACACTCAATATGGTAAACTATAACATTTCTGGGACAGTGTAGGGGTTCAGGATACTCAGGCAACAGATCTGCCTCAGATTCCTGGTGCTCACATTCATAGCCCTGTGTGAGAGCAGAGCCACACAAATTTCATCCCTGATAGACCTTTCAAACATGAAATCTAATATATAAATTTAAAATGTCATATTAAAAAGGCATAAAATTCCTATAACCAAGAGAAAAATTAAAAAGCACAGAGTAGACACAAGATTAGCTGAGTTTGAAGACCCTGTGGTGTTTAGAGACTATTTGAAAAGAGTGAAGACAATGAGAAAATACACAGGAAGGCGTACTTCAGGAGTAAACACTGGAAACTGTGAAGCAATTGGACAGAAATCTCAGAACTGAAATCAAATGAAAGAAGCTTAAGGAATTCACTGGACTAACTTGGCAGATGGATACAGGGGAAGCATGAATGAATCTGTAAAAATATTAATAGAAGTTACCCCTTGATGACTCAGTGAAAATATCGCATACAGATAGGGAAATAATTTCTTGGCACGAGACCATATGTAGCACAGAGGCAGATGTGTAATTAGAATTCTAGAAAAAGTGGAGAAACAGTGGACAGAAGATTGGAAGAATCACTTGTCAAAAATGCTCAAATCTGATAAAAAGTAACAACCAAAGATAACCAAGCTAAATGAACTAAAGTGTGATGAATACCATGGAAAATAGATGTAGACACAGCAGAACACCATATTCTTGGAGGCAAACTTCTAAAAACCAAATGTGATTTTAAAAGTATTAAAAGCAGACTTCTCTCCACAAAGAGACACAATAAAAATGGCAACTGGCCCCTTATTGTAAGCAATGTAGGCCAGTGTACCCTAATATCACACACTTGAGAAAAGCCATTATCAACCTAGAATACTTTACCTGATCAAAACCCCAAATATCTTTTAAAATGAAGAATATCTGGGATTGTAGTTGTGTTCCACCATACCCAGATTAAAAGAGACATTTTTTTTTTAGAAAAAGGTAACTATTTTTATTAATTCTCTGAGAGTTTAAACAATGTATTTTGTTCATATTTACATCCAACTCTTCCCTATAACTCCTTTTAAATCCACCCCTACCTCCCTACTCTTCTTTTAAAATTTAAACTACAATTTGTGCTGTCCATTTTAACAATGAAAATCAAACCATTCTATGCAGTCCCAAATCACAAGAAATGCTTAAGAAATTTCTTTGAATTTGTGTGTGTGTGTGTGTGTGTGTGTGTGTGTGTGTGTGTGTGTGTGTTTGTGTAGCACAGGTTGTAACCAGAATATATAGAACGGAATGAAAGCCACAGAGAGTAAACCTGTCATAGCTAACAATAATATATACTTTTTAACTATTTTTTAATTAAGAAATGTTTTATTCATTTTACATGCCAACCACAGATTCCCCCTCTCATGCCTCCTCCCCATATATACTTTTATTTTGTTTTTATTTACAGTGCTGGAAGTCAGGAAGGCAGACCCAGAGTCTCTTGGAAGCTTAGCACCCTGTGCTCCTAGATGCAAGTAACATTTAAATGTACCTTTAATATGTATTTTACAAAGTATTACTTAAAGACTATTAGTTAAGTAAATATAACTTTAAGGCTTTTCATATAGGTCAGAAGATTGGGAATTAAGTTGTTAATGTTGAAATGTTTTTGCATACTTGATGAATTAATATATAGTTTGAAGATAGACCATGAAAAATCAAAGGTTTTTACTGTTAGAGTAAAAATACAAATATGAAAAAGAAGGATTTAAAATAATCTCTGTGGGCTGCATGGTGGTACATGTCTTTAATCTCAGCACTTGGGAGGCAGAGGCAGGTGGATCTCTGAGTTTGAGGCTAGCCTGGACTACAGAGGGAGTTCTGGGACAGTCAGGGCTGTTGCACAGAGAAACTCTGTCTTGCGAAAAAAAAGAATAATCTCTGTGATGCCACGTTAGAACTAGAGACACCAATGTGAGCCCATGATAGCTTATTTATATTCAGATAGGTAGTTGCAGAATGTATATGCCAAATGCATATGTACATATAGAAATTATATGCATGCATACATGCATACATATATGCACATATGTGAACACAGGTGAGTCCTTTCAGTAGCAGTGAAAATCCCCAACACTCATAACTCCATTCTGGAAATCTTTAAATCTCATTTTCACTAACAGAAACCAGATTTTTTTTGGCTAGCTAGACAAACTCTTACATCTCAGTGATATAGAGACCAACAATCTAACCATGGGCAGCAGGCACTCAGCCAATAGGATATACAGATGCAAATAAACATATGAAAGGATGATCAACACCATTAGCCATTAGGAAAATACAAATTAAATTAGAGACTGCTTCCTGCCCCTCAAAGTTACAGCACATAGAGGAATGTCAGCATTACACACTATTGTGAATGTCAATCAAATGTAACCGTCACAGACTGATGCAAGGTTATAAAAATGGAAATGATTTTATTGTTCCTTGTACAAGTGCATCTACTCGGAGCTCCCTCATAGAACACCCCAGGAGAGATGAAAGCGCACACCCAGAAGTCTCTTCTAAGAATAGTCATCTCTGCTTCATTCTTAAGAGCTCCAAACTGGAAACTTAAATATGTACCAACAGATAAGTACTAACCAATAACAGAGGGGAATAACCTACATGGCAATATGCACAGATTTAAAGATGCATAGGTGAGTGAAAACAGTTGAGTACAGCAGAGTATTCATGCATGATCTGGCATAGGAAGTTCTAGAGCAGGTACACACCAACTATTGCAAAATGAAATTGTAGTAGTGACCAGAAAGGGGTACGGGAGTCTGAGGAGTTGGAAATGCCCAATACTTGATATATGAATTTATTACTTATATACATCGTTCAAAATGCATCAAAGTCTGCACTCAAAACCTGTGTATTTGGTTGCATATCAGGAAAGTTGATTAAAGCAATGAAACAGTGGGTCTAGACTTGTAGAGACCTTTCCAACTATTTGTTTGTTATCAAATACTTACTACATGTCATATGATTTTTTCAGGTGCTGAAATCATACCAATAGGTAAGGCTGATAAGGTTCCTGTCCTGGGAAGCTTATATTCCAGTGGATGAAGATAGGCAATGAAAGAATCAGTAGATGATTATACATTGTCAGGACACACAGCCTGACCCTGGAGATCAGCTGTAACAGTTTTTATATGCTTCTGAAGAGGATTTTCTGAATCAGTATGTCCTATGGTGGGTTTAAAAAACAAAATAACACAAAACAATTTCACTTCCCCATCCCTTTATGATGCTTCTCAGGTTACCCCTCAAACAAGGTAAGTGTATCTCAGTCTTTTACGCATTACATGCTTTTAAATAAAACTCAGGCTGGCATCTAGATAAAGACATACACAGTTCTGGGATGATGGGGTGGGGGAAAGTAGCAGAAAGGGCCTCCTTGATCATTGACATTGAGGAAAGAAGAAGGTCTAAAGTAGATTCACATTTGGAAATTGTCACAAACTAGACTGCATTTGAATCCATTGGACTTGATGACATTGAGAGAGTGGATATAGAGAAAAGAAGAGGCTGTGAACAGGAGCCCCTTTTTTAGAGGCTGGAGCACTACAGAGTATAAAGAATAAAGCATGAATAGAAGCAGCAGTGTGGTAGAAAGAACAACAAAAGAGAATGATGGTCCAGCAGGTAATCCTAGGAGTGTCTTAACAGCAAATAACAGTAATAAACCTTGCCAAATGTTGCTTATGCAGCAAAAAAGGCAGAGACTGAAAAGGGCCAGTGGTCTTTGAAATAATTGAGGTTATCACTGGTGGCTCTGACTGGAGTTGATTCACTGTAGTGGAAGATGAAACACTCATTGGAGTAAGAGTAAAAGGAAGGGGATAATTGAAAGTAAAAAAAAAATTTAAGAAGGAATGAACATTTAAGTGTAAATGCATATATGCTCAAAACTGCTTATAACTTCATAAAGGAAAATGGAATATATTATGAGGATCTTCTCTGTAATGTATTTCTCAGAAATGAGGCAATACCTGGAAGGGAATTACGCATTCGAGAAATGATTTGTTTTCAGTAAAGACAGGTATTATAGCATGCACATTTGCTGATGGGAATAATGCAGAGAAGAATGAAGGCTGTGCGAGAGATGGAGGCCAGCAGCCAACACTGCATCCTGGCATAGGCAAGAGGGATTAGCATCCACTAGTTCAAATGGAGACATTGGCCTAGACAGGGACCTCTACTTACTAGTGACATCAGTAAAAGAAGGAAGGTATATGGCCTGAGTATAGATGGTATAGATTAGTGTATATAGTTGTGGGGAAGACTAGACAAGTCTCTTCTAATTAATTGTATTTCTCAGAAGAAAAGGTATCAAGGTTAGCAGCTACAATTAAGGAGAAGACATTTAGATATTTAAAAGAGTGGAGACAGTGCATCATGGGTGCCTAAGTCAGTAACATATTTTTTTTTTTTTAAGTGAGAGGGTGTATTGGACAGCACAAAGATACACTTCAAGTTAGTGGCCCAGAATGTAACTAAGTCAGTTCATATGGTTTTTGTGTTTTAACAATACATAAAGGCATGGAATAGGTAGAGAGCCAGAGTTTCCCAAGAATCAAACTTTTGATAAGAAAGTAAAGTGGAAAGAGGAACCATTCTCCCTCAAGATTACAGAAGAAAAGGTATAATGAAGGATCATGGATGCTAGGCAGGGTAACCAGAGAGGTGAGGACAATGAGAGAAACAGTAACAAGAGGAACTGTCAGTGGAGTGTGTGACCGGTTAGCTGGAAAACCAGAGAAAAGTAACTAGGAAAACTAGTGCGGCTAGAGAGGAGATGCTCCAAGCTGATTTACAAAAGGGCAGGGCATTGAGAATGATAAAATCTGAGGTCTGACCCTGGAGGTGAGTATGAGTAAAACTGAAGAGGAGAAAGACAAAGAAAAGGGGTTTAAGGAATGGAGGGACCAAAGAATGGAAGGAAAATTGTGGATATTGGAATCATCAGAGCTGTGAAGACCCCAGCAACAGTAACAACCACCCATGGTTGGAACCCTTATGGATGAGCTGGGGACACGACTTAAAGATGACTTAAGACTCTAACAATGGAGCAAACAGAAGAACTTCTTGTTTCCTTTGCTGTTTGCTGGACATTCTGATACACACATATATAAAACACACACACACACACACACACACACACACACACACACACACACACACACACTATTGTAGAAGGTGGATTATTTCAGAGAAGAACACACTCTCAAGAGCTGGGCATAGAAAAAGACCACAGAGACCATTGCACTGACCTACATTGTAGGCAGACCTCATACTATTTCTAAGCCTCTGGAGCAGACTAATATTCCTATGGCTTGTTCCCTGTCCAGATGATTGACAGACCAGTTATATTGATTCTCACAGAAGAGCCAATAGTAATTCCTTGTTTAGTAGAAAGCCTCCAGAAAAGCTATTAATTTTAAAAGGCTTACACAGTTGTCTTTTAATGACTTTCCTTGGGTGTCTTGAAATGATACATCTCTACTCAGAGCCAGTGATTGGACTCAAATCTCATTGTTTTGACCAGCAGCTAGAGTCCTGCAGTGGTACTTCTTGGTTTTACAAGTTGCTTATTATGAATAGGGGTCCATCCCAATGATCTACATGCCTGCTTGCATCAAATAGCCACATAGCCCTGCTCCACCCCAAGCTGAGACCATACAACTATTTTAAAAAGGAGAATTAGAAGAGTTCAGTGTTCTCAACTCTTGCTTACCTTGAGGCCTTGGAAGACTGTCAAAGGAATGCAGAATTTGGCTCCTAGAGTGTAGCATGAATCTTAAAAGGTCTTATCAATGAAAATAAACCTGGAGCAAGGTATTGGGGTGAATGCTGGAAGATCAGAGAGACAGAACAAGCCACAGCCACCTCACTTTGCCAATTCGTCAGCTGATCCTGTTTCCTCAGAATGGAAGTCTCTAAGTCCTCATCCAAATGGATCTCAGCTGAACTGCTGCTAAAAGCCTAAAAGCTTAACCAGCCTAGTTCCTGGTTTTCACGCCTTATATACCTTTCCGCTTTCTGCCCTCACTTCCTGGGATTAAAGGCTCACTTCTTGGGATTAAAGCCATGAGCCACCATGCCTGGCTGTTTCCAGTGTGGCTTTAAACTCACAGAGATCCAGGCAGATCTCTGCCTCTGGAATACTAGGATTAAAGGCGTGTGTGCTACCACTGCCTAACCTCTATGTTTAATATTGTGGCTGTGCTGTTCTCTGACCCCAGATAAGTTTATTAGAGTGCACAATATTTCGGGGAACACAATACCACCACACTAGAGAGCTACATGAAGGAAGATACATGGAGAAAGATCAACTATAAACCAGGAGAGATAAAATTAAGGCATCTGTTAAGAACATAAGATCTAAAGACTAATAGGAGCATTGCTAGGTTTATACTGCTAGGATTATAATAAGCATAGCATTTCCTCCATAGAAAATCAGAAATCTAATTTCACAGTTAGTCACTGAATGGGATGGTGGGAATGACATGTGTGATGATATATTGTATACTCCAACAAAACTTATCTGGGGATCAGAGGACAGAGCCAGGTACTAGATTA